GCAGTGTCACTGGCCCTCATATGTGGGATCCGAACCGGGGCCCTCTGGCGTCCCAAGCCAGTTCTTAACCAATGCACCACTCGGCCGGCCCCAAGCACGCATCTTTTGGATAATTTTCCTGCAAACTTCTGGTTGCTCTTCTTAACTCTGAGTTTTCTCTCATCTTGTCTCTCATGTATACTTATAGCATCTTTCTGGGCACTGCTTTTTCTACAGTATATTCCTACTTGATGATTTACATTACAGTACTTTTTCTCAGACAAGTTACTGCTAGCTTTCCCTCTTTGGTACCTAGATTTATTACTTTCCTTGAGGTAATAGTGTTTGCTATTTCCCCACATGCAACTTACTTGTTTGTCCGTTCCTTTGTCTTTTTGTATAGACCAGATGGCATGAGTCTGGCGTGTATATCTATTACTTAACTCCACTCTCCACTTTATCAAGCTCAAACTTTATTTTCAGGTGATTGGAATTTAGTAGTTAGCCCCACTGACTTTGTTCATTTTATTTAATTTATTTTTATTATTATTATTTTTTAATGTGTGTGTTTCATTTAGATTATATAGCCTATTTAAAGGCCAGAGGCTTCGATTGCCCTCTCCTATTTCTGTATTATCCCCTTCTAGCACTACATATAAAAAGTGAGTATAATCAATGTCCATGGATTGATTCACCAGGCTATCTATCCCAGCTGTCTTTCTTACACAGTTGAGTCAAAATTCTGATTCATATCTTACGTGTAAAGATGTTGACTTAAAATATTCAATGTTAATTGTAACAACTCCACTGAGACTAGACTTTGGCATTTGATTAGGCTGGGTGATTCAGATCTTTGATTGGAGGTATCATTTTTATATTTTTTGCTCGATGGTATTGAGTAAAATAAACTATAGAGCAGGTAAGTGATATTTTTAGATCACTGTTTTTACATACTTAGAAAGAAATTGGAATTAGCCTTAAACTTGTGACACTAAAAAATGGTCTTTATCAAGAAGAGCAAAAAAAAAAAAAAAAAGGAATGAGTAGGATCAGGCATAATAGTGTAGTAAATAGTATTATTATGCTAAATCTCTTACCAATTGTGAAATTACAAAGAAATTCAGAAATCAGAATTGCCATAGTATGTTATTATTTAAAATATTTTTTTGATGATGGAAGGGTAGTTTTAATTTTTAACTCAAATGAGAGAATATAAATATTCTTACCCTAAACAATCTGGTAGATTTTAGGGGTTTCACTTTGTCAAAATTTTGTTGGTAATTCTTAAATTATATTCAAGAGTTTAGTCAAATGGACCAATAATCATAAGTTAGTATGTAATAATTTAATTCTTCTTGGCTAGAGTATTTTCAGTTTTTATAGTGTAATATTGACTAAAACATTTAGTAGGAGATGGTACTGCTGTATAATTGTTTGAATAATTAAAATATATTAGAAAAGGAAATAAATTGTTAAATTGATATTTCAGAGCTTGACTGAAAAGTTGCTGAAGAAAGAACTCGACTACACTCAGTTAGAAGATAAGCACAATGAAGAATGTGTGAGTAAAAAGAATATACAAGCAAGCCTTCATCAAAAAGACCTAGATTGTCAACAGCTTCAGTCAAGATTATCTACATCTGAAACCTCACTGCAGAGAATACAGGCAGAATTAAGTGAAAAGGGAGAAGCTACTCAAAAGCTCAAAGAAGAATTATCAGAAGTAGAAACCAAATACCAACATCTTAAGGCAGAGTTTAAACAGCTACAACAACAGAGAGAAGAAAAAGATCAGCATGGATTACAACTTCAAAGTGAAATTAATCAGGTAAGAGATGTTTTACTTATTTGAATTGCTCCTATCATTTCTTCTTAGTGTGTTTGATGGTTATTTGGTCATAACATAGTTTATTAAAAAATTATCATTTAAAAATTAACTTTTAATTTTTACAACTATAGTATTGAGTCAGTCCTCATTTCCTTTCATTTCCGTTTCCCTTAAGGGGAGAAAAAAAATGATAGTATCTATCATATAGAATTGTTGTCAAGTGTTTGAATTAGTACATGTAATTGCTTAGGATGGTACCTGGCATGTGATAGGTACTCAGGAATTAGCTTTTGTAATTAATTCAAATTGTTGACAATTCTTTAACTTAAAGATTCTTACCCTTTTTTTTCTTTGTTACTAAGTTTTAAAAATTTAATTATTGTTAAACCAATAACATAAAAATTAGATACTTTAAAAGAAGAAAACACATTAGCCCTAACAAGTATTTTTATAGGTAAATAATGTCTATCAGATGAAGTTTAATGCAAGTTTTGACTGTCATTAAGTTAATTTTTAAATTATGTATTCTAATTATTTCTTGTAGATAACACTAATAATTGGTTGAAAAATGGAAATTTGGGAACGAATAAAGTCCTACCACTTTTTTGATAATGTTCAACTATTTTCACTTAAAAGACAGTGATCCTTGCTTTTGTGGCATCAATTCTTCTGTCTTCTTGGCCTGAGATATTTTTCCTATTCCTCTTCTTCTTGATATATACTAATTATTTCACTTTCCTAGAAATCTTTTTCTGAACAATACCACTTCTAACCCTCCCCCTCCCAAAAGATGGCTTAACCATGCACATATCTTGACTCTTTTACTTACCACAGTATAGTTACATTATCATATGTCTTTCTTCACTAGACTCTGAACTCTTTGGGTGGAAAGACCATGTCTTACTAATTTTTTTATCCTCACTATTTGGCACATTGCTTGTTAATCAGCAGATGTTTTAGTGAGTAAGTAAGTGAATGAAAAAATGCAGGCGTTCATAATGGAAGGAAACTGAGGCTTGGGGACATCAGTGAATAAAATAACTTAGATATTTGACCTTCAGTTCAGATAAACAAACCAAGCGTTTATGGTTTGTAAACGACAGCGTGCCTTATTGTTAGCAGATACAGAAATAAAAAAGAACACAGTACCTACCTTAAATGATTATGTGTATCTCATTGAGGATAAGGCAAGTACTATCCTATACCAAAGAATGTGAGAAATGTAATAAAATGACATCATACGCACACACTATGAGAATTTGGAAGAGTACCTCTCCCACATAGTACTTCAGATTGTGTAATTATTTTATCCACTTATTTGATCAGGAAAAGCTTTTGTGTGAGAGAGGTGATGCTTGAAATTGTGATATTGGATAGGTTTAGGTAAGGAGCAGTTTGAAGGCAGGAAAGTCTTCCAGGCAGAAGGAGTAGCAAGAGTAAACAAGTGGCAGGAAAGTATAATAGGAACCAGGAAGGGACACTGATTTGCTCTTAGGATAGGTCATGTGTCACAGGAGTGGACTCGTGACTGGAAAGAGCATTTGGGACTTCATTACGTAGGGTCTTGAATAGTAGGCTGAGGAGTTTGGGCTTTATTTGGTTGTCAGTAGGTGGAGGGAGCGGCATCGGGAATTTTTGAGCACCTACTCAAACACATATTTTATATGAAGCCTTGAATATGTGGTTATATGGTTTAGTTACAGTTCTGTACAAAATAAAGAGGTCATACTGAAGACCTTGAAGTGATGCCATTTAGCTTCTTTCTTTCAGCGTGGTGTCTGGATTCTACCATGAAAGTATGTCTCATGTCTGTCCACCTCTTTTCATCTGCACTGCTCCCACCCTTAACCTAAGCCACCGTCATTGCTGACCTGGGCTGCTGTGTTAGCCTTCTTAAAAGTTTCCCTCCTTCTAGTGACATCCTTCATCTATTCTCCATAAAAAACACAGAGATTTATTTTTAAAACATGAAGGATATCACTTTCTTCCTCTGCTTAACACTCTGTTTAAAGTGGTTTTGCATTACATATTGAACTGAAACCAAATGTCTTAGTTTGGTGTATAAGCCTCTGGATGGAGTATGATCCACACTATGCCTTCAAATTCCTCTTCTTCCTACCACTGTGAAGCCATGTTGGTCTCCTTTCAGGTCCTCAGACACACCAACACTTCAGGTGCTTTTCTGCCTTAGGGCCTCCGCCTGTATTTTTCATCTTCTCGGTGTGCTTTTTGACTTCAGGTCTTCACAAGGCTGGCTCAGGTGGCATTTCCTCAATAAAGCCTTCCAGGACCACTCTGTTTAAATAGTTTGTTCCTTGTATTCTGGACCCCTTCTTTATTTCAGCAAGCTTCTTTTTTCTTCTTCTTTATAATGCTTTATATTGTCCATTAGTTTTTTGTTTACTTCCATGTTGCCTATAATTCCCATTGGGCTGTGAACTCCTTACTGTGAGGAATTTGTTTTATTCTATATTCTATCAGCTTCTATACTTAAGGCTTTCAGTAAATATTTGTTGGAAGAATGGAAGTGAGCCTCACCTTAAACCTTTATTCAACATCCTGAAAGCATATAGGCATGAACTGGGTTTGTTTTGCTCTCCACTGTATCATACTCAGCATCCATTTCAGAGCTGGCAGTTGTCAACAAAGGACTTGAAAGCAAAGTAGCCTGTATGCTTCATATAGGTGTTCATGAGCATTTCAAAAATAGCCACAGATGTGCAGATAATTTGCTACATAATTTAAAAAATTAGATGTCATCAATTTAACTTTTAAAAGTCATCTAACATGCCATCTTGAATAGCGTAGTGGTTTATCAGTATGGATTTAGGAACCAACTGCCTGAGTTCTAATTCTGTGGTCTACAAACTGATCTTGTTCAAGTTATATAATTTATGCCTCACTTTGCTCATCTATAAAGTGAAAATAATAATGAAATGTTCTTCATGGTGTTATTGTAAGTATTAAATTAGTTAATATTTGTGAAGCATGTAGAATATGGCCTAGAACATAGTAAACATTATTAGGAATATAATGAATACAGAATTATAAATATAAGTTTACAAAACCAAATTTATTAAAGAATATATACATATATGTATATCTGAAATTACAACTCTAGGGTCGACCATTCTAGTAATAATTCCAATGTGTATTATTTTTATTTTTAATTTAACTTCTTTTTCTTTAACATATTCACTCTAAAACGGTATAGGCATCATTGTATAAGTGATTTTAGTCTGCTTCCATCCTTGAGCAGCTTTGATTTGAGATTCATTTTTTTATTAAAAGTTCAGAGATTTATCAGGAACCATAGAATAATGTATGACAAAGTTATAAAAAAATATATATCTTTTTTTCTCACCCCCTTTAGTAAATCTTCACTTTAGAGCAATAGTTATCTTTCATTCTATGGTTCTCACCTCTGTCTGTATAACAGAATCACCTGGGGAGATTTAAAAAATTACCAATATCTAGCCCTCACCCATGATGCAATTGCATCAGAACCTCTGGCATATCCCTGGGCACTGGTATTTTTAAACATCTCCCTTGTGATTTTACTTTTTACAGTTGAGATTGAAACCTGCTGCTTTTTTTTTTCTAAAGATTTTATTGGGGAATTGGGGGAGGGAACAGCGTTGGGGAATCGGGGAAGGGAAACAGACAAGTTGCTTTCCTTTTGTTCTTCAGTCTAGTTGTGGGGACGTCACTTCACTGGCCCATGTTGGTATTGTCATTGTGCTTTTCCCGGGTGAGGCAGTTGCTCGCTGGCCATTGAACAGTCACTCACGGCAGCTCACTCCGGCTGCCAGCCACTCCTGCCGGCTGCCAGCCACTCACAGTAGCTTACGGCAGCCCATTGCAGCCCCACTGCAGCCTATGCTGTCGCCTCACGGCAGCCCAGCTCCAGGTCGAGCTGTTGTTCACCATCTTAGCTGTAGAGGGCGCAGTGTCACTGGCCTATGTGGGATCCAAACCAGCAGCCCTGTTGCTCAGAGCTTGCACTCCCAAGCCAGTTTTTAACCAATGAGCCACTCAGCCAGCCCAAAACTGCTGCTTTATAAAGTGTTGTTTTTCAGCATGTGATTAATGAACTCTCCTAAAACTAAATATCATCTGATTCTTGTTATGAAGACATGGATATCTAGACTTCAGCTCACATGTGCTCAGTGTAAACTTCTAGGGGAGAAGTCTGATTATCTTTGTATTAACAATGATATCAGGAGATTCTTAACCAGCAAGTTTAGGAACTAGATATGGGTGATGCCTGTTGTCGGACGAGATCAAGCACTTAGATGCTTGAAATATGAGTTTACTTTAAAGGCCTCCTTTACTTCCATATACCAAGATTGAGCCTAATTCTTCTAGTGAGAAGGAGAAGGTTTGGGTAGTTATTATAGTGCTAATTCACTGCATTTTAAGGAGAATAAAAAGGAGACAGATGTCAGAGTGCTGGTTAAGGACAAGGATAAAATAAATACATTCTCTTTAACTGTTACTGCCTGCTGTTTTAGTTAGATAGAAGCATATTTCACTTTAGAAATTAACTTTCTTTTTAAATTATAGATCGAATATATTCTGATACCCGCAGTTTTTTCATAGCATAAGAAAATAGTGAATATTCACTTACCCGATAGAACTTTATTTTTTCCTTGCCCAGTATGAATTTTTATGAAGAAATATGCAAGTATAGAGCATATAAGTATAAGTATGACACAAATTCTATGGATTCTTAATATTTTAAGATTTAACATAGTTTTGATTGAAAGCAATTGAATAGAATGTCTTCTATTAATTTTTCATTTTATTGAGGCATATGCATTTATTTTGTATTTTGAGGCTGGTTGTGTCAGAGGCATTGCCAAATGTCCTGCATCCTTATCTCCACACAACTCTTTTTTTGTTCTACATGCCCAGCACTTGTGCAGTAATTCTTCAGAAAGTAATATAACCTTTTATTATGTTTAAATCGGTTTTAATGGAAAACAGCACCCCCCCCCCATCCTCAAAGAAGGTAACTGTTATTGCTGGTGGTATTAGAGAAAATAAAGAATTTGAGACTGTGATGGTTCTTAGCTGCAGGTCAAATTTCTCCTTTAGTTTTTAACTTGGTGGCAGTTTTAGAGTTAATGAACGAGGGTGACCTAATATTTAAAGGAAATATTCTTTCACTACTTTATTTAGAAATTATGTGCCATTTTGAGGACTTTGCAATGCTTTGTGCTCTCTTCAATACCCAATGAAAAAGAGGTCAAGTGTGGTGGCTCGTAACTATAGAAAAACAGCAAGAATTACTGTGGAATGTTTAAAAAGTACTTTGGAATAGGTCTTTGTGTGCTCTGAGGGTCTTAGTTTTTAACCTTGATTTCATTATTTTAAGTTCTTCAAATGATTTCAGTACTTATGCCTAAACAAGATCCTATGTATGGTTCATTGTATTTTTTTTTTTTTTTACTGGGTAACTGTGTTTTTTCCAGGACCCATCAGCGCCACGTCAAGTTGTTGTCCTTCAATCTTAGTTGTGGAGGGTGCAGCTCAGCTCCAAGTTCAGTCACCTTTTTCAGTCTAGCTGCACCATCCCATGTAGGAATCGAACCGGCAACCTTGTTGTTAAGGGCACACACTCATCTGGCCGCCCACCGGCAGCTCAGCGGCAGCTCAGCTCAAGTTGTTGTCTTCAGTCTAGTTGTGTGTGTGTGTCGGGGTGGGGGGGGGTGGCGCAGCTCACTGGCACATGGGGGAATCGAACCAGCAACCTTGTTGTTCAGAGCATGTGTTCTAACCAACTGAGCCACCTGGCCGCCCCTTGCTGTATTTTTTTAAGAGCGCAAGCAAACCAGAAATTGTGATGTTTAATCATAATTTTATGTGATTCATCATAATTTATGTGATTAAACTTCAGTTGGATCTTAGGTTCCCTCAAAGTATTATGAAAATTACAATATAACACATAAATTGGAGAAAAATAAAACAGTGTTTGGAAAAACAGGCGATGGTGGTGATGGTGGTATTTGTATTTATATGTATGTCTATACTTGTTTTCTTTTTTAAAGTTACATGGCAAACTTCTGGAGACAGAGCGCCAACTAGGGGAAGCTCATGGCAGGCTGAAGGAACAGAGACAGCTTTCAAGTGAAAAGCTGATGGATAAAGAACAACAAGTGGCTGACCTACAACTCAAACTTTCTCGTTTAGAAGAGCAAGTAAGCTAGCATTTCAAATGAGTTTATATTAGCGAATTTGTTGATAGATTTGAGGTATCTTCAATATTGTTATGGTTCAGTCTTTTCACTGTCAAGAGCTTTAACTGGACAGTTATTATTATTTTTTTTTTACTTTAAATTATGACATTTATTTCTCCCCAGCAAAAACATCCTACTTATTAACTATATTAAGTCATTTTGTTGTGACTATGTGCCCTAAAGTTGTCAACAAAAAATGTAGAAAGAATGCTACCCTTTCAGCTTCAGGTGGGAAAAATTCAGAGGGTGAACCTTTTGATTTGCTGAGGAGGAGTCTTCCTACCCAGGAAGGACCACTTCCTAATGAAAGAATGAGAAATGAATAGTTGGTGAGGATCATCAGTGACATGTAGTTGGTACATATAAACTTTGAATTTGCATTCAAGGATTTACACTTTTAAAAATCACACATAAGATTGAATGTTTTGCTGATTAAAGGTGTAGTTGCCAAAAATGGTAACTATTATTTGGCTAAAGTAAAAGTTATCATTTAATTATGTCTTTTATTAGAATTGAACAAACACTGAGAGTTAAAATCTGTAGCTTCAGCAACAGATTTTTTTCTAGACCCAAAATCTTAGATGTGTTAGATGATCCTATTCTTTTCCAATATGTGATAATTATGATTGTTGTACAAAATATATCTATATCTATATAGACATATAGATACATATCTATCTATCTATCTATTTATCTATCTATACACAGAGGGTGCCAAAAAAATGTATACACATTTTAAGAAAGGAAAAAACCGTATTAAATATATACCGATGACAAAAGATGAATACAGGTTACGTTTGACTTCTGCAATTACAAGAGGTGCTCAAAGTGGTTGCCATCAGCGTAATCTTAATACAGTTTTTTTCCTTTCTTAAAATATGTCTACATTTTTTTGGCACCCTCTGTGTACCTCTCT